CTAAATCTCTAATGATATAAGTATGTAGCTAAGTCTCTAATGATAAAAGTATGTAGCTAAGTCTCTTATGATATAAGTACGTAGCTAAGTCTCCAATGATATAAGTATGTAGCTAAGTCTCTAATGATATAGGTACGTAGCTAAGTCTCTAATGATATAAGTACGTAGCTAAGTCTCTAATGATATAAGTATGTAGCTAAGTAACTAATGATATAAGTATGTAGCTAAGTCTCTAATGATATAAGTACGCCCAGCAGTAGTACTGTTACTGGACAGTCACAACTCAGCAGATAAAACAGCTACTCACCTGGACCAGGAAGGATGTTGATGACACCTGGAGGAAAGCCAGCCTCCACAACAAGCTCGGCAAACTTCAGTGCAGTCAGAGGCGTCACCTAAAGATAAAAGTTTTTAACCTCACACGGGTGACACAAAAGATCCAGTCCTTATGTGTGAAGCAATTTGTTAGAGCCTGGATTGTGTTGAGAGAGTACTCTTCATTTTATTTTTTCACAACTGATGTTATGTTGAGAGGCTCCTGTTCAGTTTGTTACAAAAGAAGCTATTTTGAAACACTAGGGATTGACCCGTTCAGTTTACATACAATTTTATCAGAGATAAGAAGGGGTGACAACCTACCTGAGCTGGCTTCAGTACCACCGTGTTACCTGCCGCCAGACAGGCAGCCATCTTCCAAGCCAACATCATGAGTGGGTAGTTCCATGGCACCACAATGGCGCACACACTGTCAAGGACAAAGTTACACATTTCAGGGTCAGTGGTTATTTATATTTTTTATGTTAACACTTTTGTTAGCAATCCACTTCATTTATGATACTCTCACTTCTCATGAAACATTCTGGAAAGTATATTTTTGTGATCAACAAAACAAAAATATTACATGTACCTTATTTTGTATGTCCAGGTAAAAACAATTCAATCAAGCTTCAGTTTGAGTTAAACTAAGGCTATGATATCCTGCACTCACCCGATTGGTTCACGTTTTGTATAGGTCAAATTCTTGCTTGGTCTGGCATTGTTGATAGGAATTGTCAAACCCTGTAAAAACACCATAGATTTTTTTTTTTTTATATTGTTATCATTTTCAAATGAATTAAACATTTTTGAGGGGGTTACGTACCAAATGCTTATATCTGATTGTAAATTGTGAAACTGTTATTATTCTTGTGGCAGCTAGAGATAAAATATTCCTTATTAGACATTCAATGCACAAGATACAGATGTAAGGTTTGAGCTGCTGCTATGATGTTAAATTAGGAGTGTGAATATTTGAACCATTAAACCTGTCACCATGTCGAGATGTGTTACACTTCATTAGTGTTACCTTGTGTTTATACCTGAAACCATATTTGTATTTTGTAGAAACTACTGTTATCCAATCCTAACACCGCCCAGCATTCACTCTGCACTAGCTCATAAAGTTGACTGTGAATGACAACTCACGTGAATTTTGTCACACCAGCCAGCGAAGTATCTGAAGGTGGCAATAGACATGCCCACGTGCGTTTTCAGTGCCAGTGTGTACACGGCCCCGGAGTCCATGCTCTCTATTGTAGCTAGCTCCTCCTGGTGTTGTTCCATCAAGTCGGCAAGTCTACAAAGGAGATACCTCACTATTTTACACTCTGCTTGAAACATCGACCAAATTGCATAAGTGCTACTGTATCGTTCGAATTGTCGATATTGCCCGCCCGTGTAATAACCTTAGATATCAGCCCACATCCGGTGATATCAGCCCGCTTCCGTATTTATCAGCCCACATCTGGGTCTTCAACACAGTCCGGTCTGGTAACCGCATCAAGTTTTATAGGTTTGTTGTTGTTGTCTGCACCTCTCGTCTACAATGGAGTCTCATGGAGAAGCAGTACTCGAGTCGTTAGCTCAACGAATACTTGAATTAGATGAACTTATCGACAAAGAAAATGACCAAAGGTTGGAAGAGGCAAGGTTTGTTAACATCGAAAGGGAGAACACCGGTAGTTTTGACGACACCATGAAAAACGGCAACACAAAGAGGAAAACTCAGAATGGCATAAAGCTCTTCAGGACATGGTGGGAAATTGTTCATGAATGTAGGCTTGTTGAGGAAATCTTTGTTTTAATGGATTTTTTTTCATTAGTAAAATAATATGATAAAAATGTTATAACATGCCTGTTTTCATATCAGACCCCAGGCCCTTGGGCCTGATATAGGTTGAGGGCCAATAGTGGTATAAGTAACATCAAAAAATGGTCAAGTCTACTTCAAGACTTCAGTATAGAGCCTTCATTTAGAGGTTATTACATGTTTATTTATCGTTTTGTCGTTACTTATACCACTTTAGCATCAGGAAATTCAACTGATTCATTCTATATATATATATACTTACTTGAACATAAGAGCTCCCTTGTCTCTGGCGTTCATTCTTCCCCACTCTCCTTCATAGAATGCTGCCTGTCAACAAACAAGCTCATACTTTCAGAATACCAGCTCTTTTTCCAACTACACTACCAGAAAGACAAAAACCTATAGGGGTCCCGATATGCCTTAGGTGCAGCACAATGTATCTATATTTATTTTTTTTGGTACTGCAATGCAATACAATATCCAGTGTACATGTTTTGAAATATACCAGTTTTCCATTATACGATACCAGCCCTATTACAACCTAATCAATATAACATAAAACACCTTAGTAGTGTATCATTGTGATACAATAAACAGCAATTACTAACATTACTTACACGGTGTTGGTGCCATTATTTCAATTTTAGCTTATTCCCATTCTTACATCTGACTACTGTCTACTGCCTACATTTAAATGGACATCCCTGTCAAAGTTATGAAGGATGCTGACCACTTCCCTGGCATTGACCCCTGTCCTTGCTGTCTGACTCCTGACCACTACCATTGATTTGACTCCTGCCATCCATTTTCAAGGACTTGACCCCTATCCTAGCTGTCTGACTCCCTGACCACTTCCCTGGACTTGACCCCTGTCCTAGCTGTCTGACCCCCTGACCACTACCCTGAACTTGACCCCTGACCTAGCTGTCTGACTCCCTGACCACTACCATGGACTTGAACCCTGCCCTCCATTTTCCATGACTTGACCCCTGTCCTAGCTGTCTGACCCCCTGACCACTACCCTAGACGTGACCCTGACCTAACAGCCTGACCCCTGACCACTTTCCTGGCATTGACCACTGTCCTAGCTGCCTGACCCCTGACCACTTCCCTGGCATTGACCACTGTCCTAGCTGTCTGACCCCTGACCACTACCCTGGATTTGAGCCCTGACCTTACATTTGACTCCTGACCACTACCCTTGACTTGACCGTTGTCCAGGGTGTCTGACCAGTAGGACTTACCTTGGCTGCCTCTACTGCCCGGTTGACATCAGTGGGCGTGCCCTTTGCTATCTCACATATCACCTGTACAAACATAAAACCAGAATAAGTTATGTAACTTGTCTGAGAAAAAGCTTTTCCTCTTTCATGGGGTTGAAGAATGTACTCAGGAAAGCGCAAAGAACTTGATTCCAAGACCTTTAAATTTGATCGAAGTACCAAATCTTATGGTAATTTTCCACAGAAAACTTCAGACCAACTTTTCATTTATAGGCGAGCTATAAACCTGTAATGCAAGAGTAAATTAGAGAAAGAACTGTCAAAACATATCATGGATTATAAAGAATACTTCATAGTTCAGGTGGATGTTTTTTCTTTTTTCTTGGCAACTAGGTGGACTTACAGATTTGTCATTGGGTTTTTTTGGACTTGGTAACTAGGTGGACTTGTGAACTAGCTGACTTTCTAACTAGGTGGACTTGGTTACTAGGCGGACTTGGTAACTAGGCGGACTTGGTAACTAGGTGGACTTGGTTACTAGGTGAACTTGGTAACTAGGCGGACTTGGTAACTAGGCAGACTTAGTTACTAGGTGGACTTGGTAACTAGGTGGACTTGGTAACTAGGTGGACTTGGTAACTAGGTGACTTGGTGACTAGGTGGACTTGGTAACTAGGTGGACTTGGTACCTAGGTGGATTTGGTAACTAGTTGGACTTGGTTACTAGGTGACTTGGTAACTAGGCAGACTTAGTTACTAGGTGGACTTGGTAACTAGGTGGACTTTCTAACTGGGTGGACTTGGTTACTAGGCAGACTTGGTAACTAGGTGGACTTGTTAACTAGGTGGACTTGGTTACTAGGTGGACTTGGTAACTAGGCAGACTTAGTTACTAGGTGGACTTGGTAACTAGGTGGACTTTGTAACTAGGTGACTTGGTGACTAGGTGGACTTGGTTACTATGTGGACTTCATAACTAGGTGACTTGGTGACTAGGTGGCTTTGTTACAAGGTGACTTGGTAACTAGGTGGATTTGGTAACTAGGTGGACTTGGTTACTAGGTGACTTGGTAACTAGGTGGATTTGGTAACTAGGTGGACTTGGTAACTAGGCGGACTTTGTAACTAGGTGACTTGGTAACTAGGTGACTTGGTAACTTGGTGGTAACTAGTCGGACTTACAGATTCGTCATTAGGATTTACAGTCTTGAAAGTCTTTCCATCAGAGGAGTCGATGAATTCGTTGTCAATGAAAAGTTGGTGAGCAAAAGAGATATCCATATTGTTGACATTCATTTTTACCTGAAAAAAAAAAAAAGTTAAAACAAGTGTTATTTCATCTTTGAAAATTAATTAGCTGCTCAAAAGTTTACTGGATTAAATAGTGGTTTAAAATTCAATTATAAGTTTTTTATGTTTTTCTCGTCAAATGATGAAAATTCTGATTCTCTACATACAGAATTGGAACTATGAATTTCAACAGTTCTTAAAATACAATGAAATATTGATATAAAGCTATATGAAGGCTCCCTATCAAAGAGTTACTGATTTCCTTGTTTATCTCAATCACTAAAGCTAATATTTCAAAAATAATTTTAAAAAGACAGTTGGTTTTTGAAAGTTTGAAAGACAAACATGATGATAACCAATAATTAGACAAAGGGAACCATTTTATATCTTATCTCAAAAAGCTATTAACACACAACGAAAGTTTCCAAGGAAAGAAAATCATGACTCTTCGAACCAGGTGAGAAAATAATGCATGAACAACACATACTGCATCAAATACAAATGGTTCCTTGTCCTCAATTCCACGACTCCGCCGGATGACGCAACTGGAGAAATCCTCAAATGTGGTATTCATGTACACGTCTTCAGTCTGGAGGGTGGTACCATTACATTTCTCCTTCACCTCCTCCACTAACCTACACACAACATACATATGTAAATAGTTTACATTCTGGAGGGTGGTACCATTACATTTCTCCTTCACCTCCTCCACTAACCTACACACAACATACATATGTAAATAGTTTACATTCTGGAGGGTGGTACTGTTACACAACTCCTTCACCTCCTCCACTAACCTACACACAACATATATATGTAAAAAGTTAACATTTCAGGACAGCACCAACTTCCTACTAATGTTATTTCACACATAGATTTTCATTTAAGGACTGAATCTTTTGATTTTATGAGGGATGATTTAATTGTCTTGGGACAAATTTAATTTGGGGCTATTCTACTGAAATATCTTCCCCAGGCCAGAGGCTGTTGTTCGGAGTAACTCCCAGACTCAAGAACATGGTACTTGCTACTGGTTAAATTGCAAGGCTTTTACCCATGATAACAGGTTACACAGCTTTTAGATAGTTAAGTGTGTAATAATCAGTTAAAACACTTACCTCACCACATCCATGGAGCCAGCTCCACACTTAAAGAAGTCAGTGGTTTCATCAATGTCTACATTTAAAATACCGTTCCAGACAGACTGAAAAATAGCAAACATCAATGGTCACATACACAACTCTCCATACGTATCAATACAGTGGTTCACATACACAACTCTCCATACATATCAATACAGTGGTTCACATACACAACTCTCCATACGTATCAATACAGTGGTTCACATACACAACTCTCCATACGTATCAATACAGTGGTTCACATACACAACTCTCCATACGTATCAATACAGTGGTTCACATACACAACTCTCCATACGTATCAATACAGTGGTTCACATACACAACTCTCCATACGTATCAATACAGTGGTTCACATACACAACTCTCCATACGTATCAATACAGTGGTTCACATACACAACTCTCCATACGTATCAATACAGTGGTTCACATACACAACTCTCCATACGTATCAATACAGTGGTTCACATACACAACTCTCCATACGTATCAATACAGTGGTTCACATACACAACTCTCCATACGTATCAATACAGTGGTTCACATACACAACTCTCCATACGTATCAATACAGTGGTTCACATACACAACTCTCCATACGTATCAATACAGTGGTTCACATACACAACTCTCCATACGTATCAATACAGTGGTTCACATACACAACTCTCCATACGTATCAATACAGTGGTTCACATACACAACTCTCCATACGTATCAATACAGTGGTTCACATACACAACTCTCCATACGTATCAATACAGTGGTTCACATACACAACTCTCCATACGTATCAATACAGTGGTTCACATACACAACTCTCCATACGTATCAATACAGTGGTTCACATACACAACTCTCCATACGTATCAATACAGTGGTTCACATTCACAACTCTCCATACGTATCAATACAGTGGTTCACATACACAACTCTCCATACATATCAATACAGTGGTTTAATTTCATAAATACAACAGTGGTTTAATTTCATAAATACAAGAAAATAAATTTTACATGGTAAAATATTATGTACATTGAATCCGACACTATTCATCATTAGGTATTGTATGAGGAGGAGGTATTGGGGTAAGAGGAATTTAACTGTGGATGGAACCAAATATTGGTCATATAGAATTCATTAGTGCCCCACTCTTTGTTGAAGATTCATATAAATTGTTATTGTCTATATAGACAGAGTTAAACCTTTGTATTTCAAAGCATTTTATCACTAATGTTTTAGTTGTCCTGAAAATATTAAAGGAACAGGCACCTCATGATTTTGAGACAAAAGTAACAACACTTCAGTCAGGAGACTTAAATTGTCAAAGTTTTCTTTGAAGATGTGTTTGGAACAACAATATACAAATCTAATTATGTTAATATGATTGTGTAAAATATCACCCAAAATAAGTTACGTGAGCCCAGATTTAAATACTCAAGTGCAAGCTCTTAATTTGCTTAGCTGTCTTTCAAATACTTTCGACTGTTTATAAAAAGCATACTTGTTCCAGTTTTCTACTGTTCCTCAGCAATGTAATATTGCTATATATGTACACACACCTGATTCAAAGTATTCACAGTATAATACATACACTATATCTCTCAAAACTTTCAAAACACCAACCTTTAAAGAGGTGAGCATTTTCTCCTCCTCGGCAGAGAGTTCCAGTTTTGCCTGCGACAAGTCCTCCTTACCAAACTTGTTTGCCTGGATCATTTTTCCATTTTCATACTGAATCTGTGTGACATTTACCTGCAATGAAAATATCACAGAGTTCAGCTTTACGAAATTACATACAGGTCAGAGGTCAGCTTTACATACAGGTCAGAGGTCAGATTCATACACAGGTCATATCAAATTTTATCAAGGTATAAAAACATACATTTATAAAAAAAAAAAAAATTGAACATTGAATACCAGATAAGTTCCTTTAAATGTAGTCCATGGAACCAGAACTATAATCAAAATATTGAATTTAATGTTTAGGGTGAAAATATCAACAGCCAATATATATATATATATATATATATAGATACTTATATAATTACCTGCTACTTCATCTAATCTTTTTATCAAAGATTACAGATGTAAAAAAAATACGAGATTTCAGAACATTGCAAGCACCAGAATTCATACACCTGGATCAATTAAAGGAGTCACAATGCGGATATAGTACCCATGGTACCCAAACATTACAAAGGTAAAATATTTCAAACAATCCACATTGAAAAATCCCATTACTTAGGAGAAAACTCTACACAAAGTGACCTACCATCTTCCCATCATTGCCATAGAGAGCGAGTCCATTTTTGTGGACGACTCCTTGCTGGGTCGAACCTTTCACATTCACTTTGGTCCCATAGGGCTCCATCCTATTCCAAAGGCGTGATCCAAACAGAGTCACTTTCTACAAAAACAAAAACAAGTCTGTGAATTAAGTCTGGACTAATCTTTACTGTGTAATAATTGTATATAGACAGTACTATCCCCAACAGGAGGGTAAGGTTCATATTGTATATAAACCAACAGCAAGCTCAGCCTTTGTTTGGACAGACTATACCTGTGTTCAGATTTTATTGTTATAATAGTCGTTACCAGTTTTCCTTCACTTAAATCTATAAATTATTACTAAACCTTATACTTGATGAAACTGTAAATTAAATGGGTGTAGTCATTCCCCTATAAGCGTGTAATATCTAAATGACAAAAAATGATTTTCAGATGAAAAGGTCAAAGTTACATGGAATTTGCTCGATGACAAGCAGTGCCTCAGGATGGACATTTCAAAATTTAAACCTTTAAAATCTAGGAGGTTTATCAGCCTATTACAAAAGTAGAAAATATTCACAAATTCAAACATGAAGAAACCTGTGTGGATACCTTGTGACTGTAACCCTATTACATAAGTCCTACATACCTGACCGTCTACAGTAGTCCAGGCCCCAGCTACCTTGTGACTTTAACACTATAACATAAGTCCTACATACATGACTGTCTACAGTAGTCCAGGCCCCAGCTACCTTGTGACTTTAACACTATAACATAAATCCTCCATACCTGACTGTCTACAGTAGTCTAGGCGACAGGTACCTTGCGACTGTAACACTATTACATAAACCCTACATACCTGACCGTCTATAGTAGTCCAGTACAGTAGTCCAGGCCCCAGGTACCTTGTGACGTTAACTATGACTGTAACCCTATAACATAAAGCCTACATACCTGACCGTCTACAGTAGTCCAGGCCCCAGGTACCTTATGACTGTAACCCTATAACATAAGTCCTACATACCTGACCGTCTACAGTAGTCCAGGTCCCAGGTACCTTGTGACTGTAACCCTTTAACATAAGTCCTACATACCTGACCGTCTACAGTAGTCCAGGCCCCAGGTACCTTGTGACTGTAACAATATAACATAAATCCTACATACCTAACCGTCTACAGTAGTCAAGGCCCCAGGTATCTTGTGACTGTAACTATATTATATAAATCTTACATACCTGACCGTCTACAGTAGTCCAGGCCCCGGGTACCTTGTGACTGTAATCCTATTACATAAACCCTACATACCTGACCGTCTACAGTAGTCAAGGCCCCAGGTACCTTGTGAATGTAACAATATAACATAAATCCTACATACCTAACCGTCTACAGTAGTCCAGGCCCCAGGTACCTTGTGACTGTAACTATATTATATAAATCTTACATACCTGACCGTCTACAGCAGTCCAGGCCCCAGGTACCTTGTGACTGTAACCCTATAACATAAACCCTACATACCTGACCTTCTACAGTAGTCCAGGCCCCGGTACCTTGTGACTGTACATACCTGACCGTCTATAGTAGTCCAGGCCTCATGTACCTTGTGACTGTAACCCTTTTACATAAGTCCTACATACCTGACCCTAGGCCCCCGGTACCTTGTGACTATAATCCTATTACATAAGTCCTACATTCCTGACTGTCTACAGTAGTCAAGGCCCCAGGTACCTTGTGAACGTAACCCTATAACATAAATCCTACATTCCTGACCGTCTACAGTAGTCTAGGCCCCGTAGTCCAGGCCCCAGCTACATTGTGACTGTAACCCTATTACATAAGTCCTGCATACCTGACTGTCTACAGTAGTCAAGGCCCTATTACATAAGTCCTACAGACCTGACCGTCTACAGCAGTCCAGGCCCCAGGTACCTTGTGACTGGAAGCCAATAACATAAATCTTACATACCTGACCGTCTATAGTAGTCCAGGCCCCAGGTTCCTTGTGACTGTAACCCTATAACATAAATCCTACATCCCTGACCGTCTACAGTAGTTCAGGCCCCAGGTATCTTGTGAACGTAACCCTATAACATAAATCCTACATTCCTGACCGTCTACAGTAGTTCAGGCCCCAGGTACCTTGCGACTGTAATCCTATTACATAAACCCTACATACCTTACCATCTACAGTAGTCCAGGCCCAAGGTACCTTGTGACTGTAAGCCAATAACATAAATCTTACATACCTGACCGTCTATAGTAGTCCAGGCCCCAGGCACCTTGTGACTGTAACCCTTTTACATAAGTCCTACATACTACATACCTGACCGTCTACAGTAGTCCAGGCCCAAGGTACCTTGTGACTGTAACACTATTACATAAACCCTACATACCTGACCTTCTATAGTAGTCCAGGCCCCATGTACCCTGTGACTGTAACCCTATAACATAAATCCTACATTCCTGACCGTCTACAGTAGTTCAGGCCCCAGGTATCTTGTGAACGTAACCCTATAACATAAATCCTACATTCCTGACCGTCTACAGTAGTTCAGGCCCCAGGTACCTTGTGACTGTAACCCTATAACATAAACCCTACATACCTTACCATCTACAGTAGTCCAGGCCCCGGTACCTTGTGACTGTAATCCTATTACATAAGTCCTACATCCCTGACTGTCTAGAGTAGTCTAGGCTCCAGGTACCTTGTGACTGTAACCCTATTACATAAGTCCTACATACCTGACTGTCTACAGTAGTCTAGGCGACAGGTACCTTGTGACTGTAACACTATTACATAAACCCTACATACCTGACCGTCTACAGTAGTCCAGGCCCCAGGTACCTTGTGACTGTAATCCTATTACATAAGTCCTACATCCCTGACTGTCTAGAGTAGTCTAGGCTCCAGGTACCTTGTGACTGTAACCCTTTTACATAAGTCCTACATACCTGACCGTCTACAGTAGTCCAGGCCCAAGGTACCTTGTGACTGTAACCCTATTACATAACTCCTACATACCTGACTGTCTACAGTAGTCCAGGCCCCGGGACCTTGTGACTGTAACCCTATTACATAAATCCTACATACCTGACCGTCTACAGGAGTCTAGGCTCCAGGTACCTTGTGACTGTAACCCTTTTACATAAGTCCTACATACCTGACCGTCTACAGTAGTCTAGGCTCCAGGTACCTTGTGACTGTAACCCTATTACATAAGTCCTACATACCTGACTGTCTACAGTAGTCCAGGCCCCGGTACCTTGTGACTGTAACCCTATTACATAAATCCTACATACCTGACCGTCTACAGTAGTCTAGGCTCCAGGTACCTTGTGACTGTAACCCTATTATATAAATCCTACATACCTGACTGTCTACAGTAGTCCAGGCCCCAGCTACCTTGTGACTGTAACCATATTACATAAGTCCTACATACCTGACCGTCTACAGTAGTTCAGGCCCCAGGTATCTTGTGACTGTAACCCTATTACATAAGTCCTACATACCTGACCGTCTACAGTAGTCAAGGCCCCAGGTACCTTGTGAATGTAACCCTATAACATAAATTCTACATACCTGACCGTCTACAGTAGTTCAGGCCCCAGGTATCTTGTGACTGTAACCCTATAACATAAATCCTACATGCCTGACCGTCTACAGTAGTCCAGGCCCCAGCTACATTGTGACTGTAACCCTATTACATAAGTCCTACATACCTGACCCTAGGCCCCCGGCAACATGTGACAATAATCCTATTACATAAGTCCTACATACCTGACCCTAGGCCCCCGGCAACATGTGACAATAATCCTATTACATAAGTCCTACATACCTGACCTTCTACAGTAGTCCAGGCCCCAGGTACCTTGTGACTGTAACCCTATAACATAAGTCCTACATACCTGACCTTCTACAGTAGTCCAGGCCCCAGGTACCTTGTGACTGTAATCCTATTACATAAATCCTACATACCTGACCATCTACAGCAGTCCAGGCCCCAGGTATCATGTGACTGTAACCCTATTACATAAATCCTACATACCTGACCGTCTACAGTAGTCCAGGCCCCAGGTACCTTGTGACTGTAATCCTATTACATAAATCCTACATACCTGACCTTCTACAGTAGTCTAGGCGACAGGTACCTTGTGACTGTAACCCTATTACATAAATCCTACATACCTGACCATCTACAGTAGTCCAGGCCCCAGGAACCTTGTCACAGCCTCGGATAAAGTTGTGGATAGCCATCGCTGACTGGTCCATATTAATCTGTAAAGTACAAAACCCAATATTATACTTTGACCAGTCCTTTTGAATATTAAATAATGAATTTACAATTATTTTCTTGTATCATTTACTCTATCATTTTGTATGGCGTGCAGATACTATTGATGCTGTACCTCCACTAGAGACCTCTTGTTTAACATGGAGTGTAAATATTATTGATGCTGTACAGAACCTCCACTAGAGACCTCTTGTTTAACATGGGGGGTGAATGTTATTGATGCTGTACCTCAACTAGAGACCTCTTGTTTAACATGTGGTGTGAATATTAAGATGCTGTACCTCCACTAGAGACCTCTTGTTTAACATGGGGTGTGAATATTAAGATGCTGTACAGTACCTCCACTAGAGACCTCTTGTTTAACATGGGGTATGAATATTAAGATGCTGTACAGTACCTCCACTAGAGACCTCTTGTTTAACATGGGGTGTATATTAAGATGCTGTACAGTACCTCCACTAGAGACCTCTTGTTTAACATGGGGTGTATATTAAGATGCTGTACAGTACCTCCACTAGAGACCTCTTGTTTAACATGGGGTGTATATTAAGATGCTGTACAGTACCTCCACTAGAGACCTCTTGTTTAACATGGGGTGTATATTAAGATGCTGTACAGTACCTCCACTAGAGACCTCTTGTTTAACATGGGGTGTATATTAAGATGCTGTACAGTACCTCCACTAGAGACCTCTTGTTTAACATGGGGTGTATATTAAGATGCTGTACAGTACCTCCACTAGAGACCTCTTGTTTAACATGGGGTGTATATTAAGATGCTGTACAGTACCTCCACTAGAGACCTCTTGTTTAACATGGGGTGTATATTAAGATGCTGTACAGTACCTCCACTAGAGACCTCTTGTTTAACATGGGGTGTATATTAAGATGCTGTACAGTACCTCCACTAGAGACCTCTTGTTTAACATGGGGTGTATATTAAGATGCTGTACAGTACCTCCACTAGAGACCTCTTGTTTAACATGGGGTGTATATTAAGATGCTGTACAGTACCTCCACTAGAGACCTCTTGTTTAACATGGGGTGTATATTAAGATGCTGTACAGTACCTCCACTAGAGACCTCTTGTTTAACATGGGGTGTATATTAAGATGCTGTACAGTACCTCCACTAGAGACCTCTTGTTTAACATGGGGTGTATATTAAGATGCTGTACAGTACCTCCACTAGAGACCTCTTGTTTAACATGGGGTGTATATTAAGATGCTGTACAGTACCTCCACTAGAGACCTCTTGTTTAACATGGGGTGTATATTAAGATGCTGTACAGTACCTCCACTAGAGACCTCTTGTTTAACATGGGGTGTATATTAAGATGCTGTACAGTACCTCCACTAGAGACCTCTTGTTTAACATGGGGTGTATATTAAGATGCTGTACAGTACCTCCACTAGAGACCTCTTGTTTAACATGGGGTGTATATTAAGATGCTGTACAGTACCTCCACTAGAGACCTCTTGTTTAACATGGGGTGTATATTAAGATGCTGTACAGTACCTCCACTAGAGACCTCTTGTTTAACATGGGGTGTATATTAAGATGCTGTACAGTACCTCCACTAGAGACCTCTTGTTTAACATGGGGTGTATATTAAGATGCTGTACAGTACCTCCACTAGAGACCTCTTGTTTAACATGGGGTGTATATTAAGATGCTGTACAGTACCTCCACTAGAGACCTCTTGTTTAACATGGGGTGTATATTAAGATGCTGTACAGTACCTCCACTAGAGACCTCTTGTTTAACATGGGGTGTATATTAAGATGCTGTACAGTACCTCCACTAGAGACCTCTTGTTTAACATGGGGTGTATATTAAGATGCTGTACAGTACCTCCACTAGAGACCTCTTGTTTAACATGGGGTGTATATTAAGATGCTGTACAGTACCTCCACTAGAGACCTCTTGTTTAACATGGGGTGTATATTAAGATGCTGTACAGTACCTCCACTAGAGACCTCTTGTTTAACATGGGGTGTATATTAAGATGCTGTACAGTACCTCCACTAGAGACCTCTTGTTTAACATGGGGTGTATATTAAGATGCTGTACAGTACCTCCACTAGAGACCTCTTGTTTAACATGGGGTGTATATTAAGATGCTGTACAGTACCTCCACTAGAGACCTCTTGTTTAACATGGGGTGTATATTAAGATGCTGTACCTCCACTAGAGACCTCTTGTTTAACATGGCATCGTACGTGGCTCCCTCCTCACTCTGTACGATACTGGGGGCGGTGCCCTGAGTGATCATCCTCACAGCATCTCCCTACAAATACAAACCATTCTGTTCTCATCATGTTTGATAACGGTTGTCTAGTATTCAATGGAACTTTTTGCCTTGTGGTTGTTATTGGTTGGACGTACGGCAGACGAAAAAAGGCAAAATAAAGGCTCCCTCAACTATACTACCAAGTAAAGAATCAGTATAGAGTTGTTGAATGGGTTTGAGGCTCAACTACATCTGGGCTGCAAGTCAAACGGTATGAGCTGAGGGTTCCACATTCTAGGCTGAAGGTCTAACAAATATTCCTGAAAATCCATTCTGTAACTCTTTTTGTTATAAGATTGTTATAGAACTATAGAAAATGACAAAAGGAAAACTGTGAATCAAATTTAAGAAATATCCCACCAGTACATTCTGATATATATAGATTATTATTATACTTTTCTTCTTTTTTACACTTTATAAAAGTAGAAAATAGAAATGCTATTCAAAATAACCACTTTCAAGAACCTATTAGAGCTATTTAACCTGCATTCAAATTTTCGCGGAAGTTTTGGCTTCGCCTCGGGAAATAATTAATGTCTCGAGGGACAATAAAAGTGATATTTCCCTCACACCCATACAATAACTGTATACAAATCCTAACAGTCAAAATCAAAGGTGCCCACCAGACGGCCATTTTGTTTTCCAATCAGTCTCAAAAGTAAACATACACAATAAAAGACCAAGGGAAACTTACACATGTATGAGAGTTGAGAAAGAACTCTCCAGTACTTTCTGAGCAAAAGCGATAACAAGAATTGTTAAAGGATAGACAATGAATGAAAAGACGACAGACAACGTGCGGACCATGAACAAAGGCTAACAATGCAGCTACAAAACAACTTTGGTTGTTGCCCCTAACAACATAAAGAAATACAAGAGTGATTGGCCACAGTGACCTTACCATGGCTCTGACTCCCTCGGGGAAGAGAAATCTGTTGTAGATTGTATCAACTGTGTCATTAGGGTCCACAAAGGTCTTCCTCTGAAGCAGTATGGGCCCTGTGTCCAGTCCATCGTCAGCCCAAAACACAGAGAAGCCAGCAGAGGCATCACCTTGCATGAGGGTCCTGTAAGACAGGAACAATGCTGTCAATATAATTTCTTGTCAATAGCTTTTCATGGTCTATCTACCTAAATATACATTTAATTCAATAAAATGTAGAAAATTGTGTAAGACAGCAACACATTTTTAACATTATAAGTTTTACTTGTTCAGCCTTACCATAAATTTATAGATAGAAACAAAATTAGGACATGGGCTTACTAGGAGCACTTCTGTACAAAACTACCGCCAAACAAACCAAGTGTAATTCCTGAATGTACTGCATAAGATATAGTGCCACTAGGTAGAGACACTAGGTAGTTTGTCATATTTTCTTATTCACATTTATGTGTAACTTTTATTAGTTTAACCCTTTCACCCCAATGTAACTTTAGTAGACTCTATCATACATTGATCTGGATGAGTCCATTATGGTCTACAGTGGTGACAGGGTTAATACAAGGGGAAAAAACACATTCAGACTCAAATAATGCATGATTTCCAATTTAGCTTGTGACACTTCCCAAATACAATATTACATATTCACCATCGTTTACATATTAATATGTTTAGAAATCTTTTTTTTCTTTTTGTGTATGTACCAGTTGATGGCCGATGCTCCTCTGTGCCTGGGAAGTATTGAAGGGTGGTAAATGATGCTCTGTTTGCGAGGGAAAGTGATGACGTCCATGGGAATGAACTGTGAACAGAATGGTAGGACATTGAGCTCTGCCCCCACAGACTTGTACTCCTCCAGTACCTCCGGAATCACCTGCTTTTTCAACTGCCACCGCTTATACTTAAACACCGGGATCCCATCATTGGAAGCGGCCGCCGCTGTCAACACATAACAAAAGGTGGTTTAAGGTTATACATTACTACCCTACATTTACAAATCTTCTTTCTAAGAGAGTTCTAGACTACAACACCTGTAAAACAACTTTTATGTAACAATAATTTGGACTAGCTTGTTTGTTAACCCCTGTGACCTTGAATATAAATCAAGGTCATTCATTTGAACAAACTTGGTAGCCCTTCATGCCAGTATGTGATTGGCCAAATACCATCATCCTGGGCCTTCTGGTTATTCAGAAGTAGTTATTAAAATATTTCAACATATTTGACCCCTGTGACCTTGAATATAACTCAGTCATTCATTTGAACAAACTTGGTAACCCTTTATGCCAGCATGCTACTGGCCAAATATCATCACCCTCATGGGCCTTATGGTTATTCAGAAGAAGTTGTTTAAAGTAAAAAAATTGACGATGGACCCTTTGCCTTCGGGCCAGGTGAGCTAATTAATAACTGGTGTCAACAGATAAAGCAACCCCAATACAACCTACATAATCATGTCATCTTCAAATTCAGTGACAAACTTGACCATGCAGACAATTTTTGTTCTAGATACCCTATGACAAGTTAGAGCTCACAAGAGGCTTCAGCTAAAATGTAACAAGCTAAATGGGCAAAATTGTACAGAGAAAAATAAAGATGGTCATTGATCATGAACCAGCACTTAAATGAGATGAGAACAGGCAGGACAGGGATGGTATAATGTCAGCCAGAAGTAGTTTTACCTAAGGTGTCAGCGTTTTCATTGCAATTTGGTACAGAACAGATCTAGAAAAGGTCTTACCTAGGGGGTCAGGTTTGCCGTTGACGTCCGGTACCGTAAACACTCCAACAATGTTGTGTCCATCTTTCTGAAGAAGACGATATACATCTGCCCCGAATAAACTCTGGCCAATCACAGCTATCCTCATTTTTTCGTACCACGCCTAAAATGAAAACAAATGTACACACATAATTAATGCATATTTAAATAGCAAAAATTTTACTGCCAATTTGAGATTTCTCACTGGAGTGACCGATTCTATTAATGCACAATTCCAGTAAAATAGCTAACACTGACGTCTCTATTTGTCATGTTTACTTCCAAGTGTCCAGCATGGTGACTACCATCATACAACTGACTGACTGGAACCATAAGTGTAAACCAAGGTATTATTTACTGTGTCAATCACAGAAAACCAGCTGCTTTATGGTGAACAGCAGACTATATCCTTATCTCAGTGTCCCTTTATAAACATCCAACTTAGCAGGACATCATATCTTGTTTGTCAGTCTGTCGATGTTTTTGTTTCCTTTCTATAAATATATGGTTCCTATAACCTCAATTTCATCAAACTTCCTACTGTTTTACTTGGGAAGATGTAATTCAGTTTGTTCTGTAAAAGGTAAAGATCATTCAATGTCTTCAACTAGCTTGTCAAGAGACTGGCGATGCAAGTTTAGAAAATCTTCACCTAGATCATGATATGTTATCATATATACAAATGTTACAGTACACAAAACAAATCGGTTATCTTTTTGTAGTGCAGTGGGTTTAAAACTGTCAAGGCCAACTCATTTTTAAATAAAAACTATAAAGTCTGTACTATTACCGTAAATATTCATGTATTTTTACTGTCAATGGTATGAACTCCAGATCATACAGACTTCATCAAAAATAGGACATGAAGCCCAAAGGACCTTTTCTCTCACCTGGATGATTAAGCAATCAACATTCTCATTAAAAGTAATAATGTAAACATGATCCCAGTGATAAGGCCAATCCCAGGAAAAGGTAACAATGTCAACTAGTTGTTTGGACTACATAGAACAGTTACATTCATAAATTACTCCACTTCTCTTTCAATATTTACTAAAACTACCAACACTGTCGCAGTCATAAATATAAAATTAGGTCACTAAAACTACCAACACTGTCGCAGTCATAAATATAAAACCAGGTCACTAGAACTACCAACACTGTCGCAGTTATAAATATAAAACTAGGTCACTAGAACTACCAACGCTGTCGCAGTAATAAATATAAAACTAGGACACTATAACTACCAACACTGTCGCAGTCATAAATATAAAACTATGTCACTAAAACTACCAACACCGTCTCAGTCATAAATATAAAACTAGGTCACTAAAACTACGTCTCAGTCATAAATATAAAACTAGGTCACTAAAACTACCAACACCGTCTCAGTCATAAATATAAAACTAGGTCAGCATAGCAATTGGTGTTGATTATAAACTTAGCTTCTTACAACAATCAGGGACGATCTCATTGGACATTGGATTCACAATAACCCCACTTCCTGCATATCTAAAAAGTCTGAAGCCCATCTTCATGACACAGTGGTTGGGATATACAGCAGAAACCTGTACTACGCTGTATTTCAGTACTTGAGGTCAAGATCAATGTAACCTCATTTTAATGTGGGACACACTGCCTTTCGGTGATATACATGATGTACCTATATACAAAGTTTGCAATATATGCTCTGGAAACCTTTCTTGTCATACTTGAGGTCAAGATTAATGGTCAAATCCAAGTCACAGTTACCTATATTCAGAATACAGTACTTCCAATGATGTACCAGTTCCTATATACAAACTCTGATGCACATTCATTGAACAGCAGCTGAGATATGCTCCGGAAACCATCATTTGTGTACAGTCTGCTTAAGGTCTCTCAAGGCCAAATCAAGGTCACACACACTGCCTTCCCATGAAAGTTGAAATGGGACTATCAAAAATTCTTACCTCTCGTTTACAATATATAAAATTTCATTTTCTAAGAACTACTAATCAATTTGTTTAGGCATAAAGGTAAATATTTCTGTTTGCAATTAATAATTTACACATTGTAGACTTGTTTCTCCAGTGATTCTTTTTGCAAACTTGTCTAAGGTTTGAAAGACTTGAGCCCTCCCCTGATAAAACTACAATAGATATTAATTTCCTAAATAGTGTGACTTAAGCCCTCCCCTGATAAAATCACAATAGATCCAAAAAGTGTATTTTTAAAATTGGTATATATCCATTATTATGTATTCGAGTAAATCTTGGTGATGAAGATCGAGTGTCATGCCCCAAAACTAGGTCACTCTGACCTTATTTTTTTTATTTTTACCTACCTTGAAATAAAAATGTATCCAGAGAATGTATGCATAATCAATGATCACTTAACGCAACACATAGAACCTCCCAACTTATTATAATGGATAATATATTGGTATGAAGACAATAACTTAGGGAAGTGGAGTACTGTAACACATTTGTACATCAGAACATGATTACTCTGATAAGCATTTGACCTTTCAACTATGTAGGTACACATGTACTGAAATCTTGTCTGGTGTATATCTTCATCAATATATAAGGATAAGTATATATCTTACAACTAGTATGTGATACGAACAAGAATCAAAAATGGGTCACTATGACCTAAATTTCAACCTTTTCATGCCTAAAGCCTAAGACACGAGGCTTATTACCAGATACACAGCTTACCAAGTAACACACTGTTCACTACTTATAGGTAACTCTGTATCCACTTGTTATGATTTTGAGAAGATGTTATATAATTCCATATTCCCCTCAACACATGTGAGGTGTGTTGGCAGCAGGTTGCTATGTAGTACTGATAAACACCCCTGGAATAGTCATCCATGTAAGCTGGCAGACACAAGTTTAGCATGTTTAACCAACATTTACTTTATCTGTAGGTCCAACCAGACAACCCCTCTCACCCTAAGACGTACATGACAACCCTCTCACCCTCAGCCGTACATAACCCCTCTCACCCTCAGCCGTACATGACAACCCCTCTCACCCTCAGCCGTACATAATCCCTCTCACCCTCAGTCGTACATGTCAACCCCTCTCACCCTCAGTTGTACAGGACAACCCCTCTCACCCCCAGCCGTACTTGACAACCCCTCTCACCCCCATTCGTACACGACAACCCCTCTCACTCTAAGACGTACATGACAACCCTTCTCACCCTCAGTCGTACATAACACCCCCTCTCCCCCTCAGCTGTACATGACAACCCCCTCCCCCTCAGCCGTACATATCCCCTCTCACCCTCAGCCGTACATGACAACCCCTCTCATCCTCAGCTGTACATGACAACCCCCCTCACCCTCAGACGTACATGTCAACCCCTCTCACCCTCAGTCGTACATGACAACCCCTCTCACCCTCAGTCGTACACGACAACCCCTCTCACCCTCAGACGTACATG